TCGGTGTCAGAATATTTTTTACTGTCCATCAACCAGCTTACCTTTCCGCCTTCTCAATTATCAGCTTAGGCTTCCTAGGAGGTTACCACTTTCCAAGATTGTCCCATTCAAAGGTTTTTTTAATTTAAGATTTTTAATTTTAATTAGTTATACATGCTTTAAGTGCATTTAAAAATTAAAATCATTCTTGCTCACCTTCTAATTCCCATCTGTACTGTTATCTTGCTTTATAATTAAATTCCGATTTGAGAAATAACGTGTTTTTACCTAAATAAACATAAAGGGAGGATCTGCCTGACTAGTTAACAACTGCAAACTACCGGCATTGACAGGAAAGGGAACTGGAATAAAGATAACGCAAGTTTGGTTTCAATATGTTTTAGATGCTTTTCAGAAACGGAAGAAAACTGTAAGGCAAATTATTTCATACTAAATCACTTCATTACCCCACAGACGTTATACTATCTTTTATAAGAATACTGAGTCACCATAACTAACCTTGGACTCATCTAATCCAAGCTTCTTTAGAGACTTTCTGACATAATCCAGAAAAGAAGAGGATTTGGAATAAATTTTGCCGACATGTCGATCACTGAAAAACAAAGTCAATTTATTTTTAATTATTTAAATAATTTTTAATTACTCAGTTTTTCCAAATTAAATTATACAGTAAAGCAAGTGAAAGCTGGAACCTGTGTAAGGTAGAAACGTGTCATAGAAGGTTGGGCAATCTACTTCCGTAGTGATACTGCCTTGGAAACCCAAGGAAGGATCACTATGAGATGGGTCTGACTCGACGGCACATAACAACAACAACACAACATAACAAACGACAGAAAAAGTGGTAAGATTGCATCCAGACAAAGGTGCAAAATTTGTAAGGCCCTGAAAAACAAGGCAGTCCCATCAAGTTCCGGCTCTCACAGGTTTCACTGTAGATAGTTTTAATTCAGTCACAAAGTATTTCCAAATATCTTTTGTGTATACAGCACAAGCTCCAGATGTAA